ATTTTTTCACAGATCTACGTGCCCCAGTGTCTAGTTTCAGAAACTGAAAACCGCAAGTCTGTAGCATTCACCGTTAAAAAGTTATAAGCGAAATATCGGAGTCCATTATATTTTGATACAGATAGTAACTCTTTTGATTCAGCATTAAACCAACGAACTATTTTATTATTTTCATCTTTTTGTTTATGACCATATTTTGATGCAAGTGTTTTCTTACCCGAACCAGCATAACCGCTAATAATAACATATTTATTTGATTTTGAAAATATATCTTCGATTTTCTTGAATAATGCGTCTTTTTGTATAAAATGTTTTATGCTTTCATTTGGTATATTGCTTGATAACTGTATTATTGTTTTATCTTCTCTCAAATCCGAAATATCTTTCTTTAAATCATCTTTTAAATTATCTAATTTAACTTCTAATTTGACATATTTATTCTCTATATTTTCTTTCATTTCTGAAACGATTGTTAAATATTTATTTTAACTTTTAAGTTGATCATCTTGTACTTGTCTTAATGTATCAACTATTTAATCTTGACCCTGCTCTAAATTTTTATTTTAGCTTCTAAGTTCAGATATACTTAAACTTATCTCATCAAGTTTTGATACTATCGACTTTATTACTTCTTCATTCTCAAGTATTTTATTTTATTTTTTCTAATTTCATCATTGTCGTTTGGTTTTTGTAAACGATCATATAAACGCGTGAAATGTGATATCCCAAATGGATGCGTAGTAGATGTCAAATTAGAACAAAACATTCCTTATCGGAGGGATTTATGCATCTAAAAGTAAAACGTGGAAATCGGACGATTTTATTCGGTTCTCTGCAGATGTATGTCTTTTTTTCGGTGATTTTACTATTGACTTTGTTGATATGGTGGATAAGCTATTTTCATGGCCCAACTCTTGTTTAATGCTGAATCAAAAGAGTTAATTTGGAATGATTACAAAAATATGACAACAAAAGAGCTTAGAATAGGAAATGAAATAAATCAATGACAAATTATTATAAATTTGATAAATTGATTTGATAAGTCGGATAAAAAGCGGACGTTTAATCAATTTTAAGCAGAAAAACTAATTGATCTGATAAAAGCAAATGAAAACGATTGGAATACAGCAGAAACATATTATAGACATGCATATAGATCGATAAATTTGAATACAGTACAAGAAATAAAAGACAATAAAAATTTATATTTCAAAACAGCAACCTATGATCAAAATAAATTATTTAATTTTGAAAATTTAATAAAATATCATGAAAATAATTTGAAAATCTTTTGAATAATGCTGGAAGTAGTTATGATAAATTAGGAGATGCACAAAAAGGATTAGAATACTCTGAGAAAACTTTAACAATGAGTCACGATTTATATAAAGGCAGTCATCCAGATGTTGCAATATCATTGGATAATGTTGGAGGCAGTTATAATAAATTACACAATGTGTTTCAAGAATAAAAGACTTAAAATAAATTGATTTTTGCTGTTATTGTAGTTCGACATATGTGACACGTTTGTAAATGTTCTGAACATATTTGACATGTTCCATGTCCACATGGGGCAAATGCTACTGTTCTCTCTCGATCCAAACAGATTCCACATTGATAACGTTCTCCTAATTTTTCTAATTTTTGAATTTCTATTTTCAGCTTAATTAATTCATCATCATTCTTCTTATCAGGTTTCAAAACTAAGAATAATTAACTCTGTTATATGAAGCATATAATAAAAGTTTCGTCTATAATTACTACTCTCATAAACTTCTTTAGGTTGCGTTGACTATGTTGATGACTATGTGTCACCAAAGTGAAGTAGAGTATGACGATATCAGTAGTCCGATTCGAAAACTATTCTACTTTTAATTTCTAAACCATTGAAAGACAGTTTAAAAATTAAAAATTCATAGGACATTAAACGGTACTGCAATGTCACTTTCACCCTCTTCGTCGAACATCTTCTTTTCCACGGTTTTTACCCAGATACGAAAAAGTCTTACTACCGTGTTTTGGAGATAAATTAAAAAATCACAGGTGATTAGAACGAAATTATTGTCATAACTTACTCTCTGTCATTACTGGGTTACATTGCTGATTTCTTGGATTTTTATCACATAACATCTAAAAGAGAAATGTTTCATTTCATTTATATTTCTTTTTCTTTGTCTTACTTCATGACTATCTAAATTGTTCAGTGAAATTTTAATCTGGCAAAATTTGCACGGTAAAGAAGTAATACACTCTTTGATTCTGCAAAAAAATATTAAAATGAAAAAAAGAATTTTACTGGTATAAATTTTTCTTTACGCCTGAATTGTTTGTTCCAAAGATAAAGATTTCTGAGGTACTTGATTTTGAAACGGTTCGGTGACTATCATCCATGATTGCTGCTGTTGAAAATCGTTCGGCTTGTCAGAAGATGAAAACGAATTTTTATCGATAAAACAATCGAAATTTTTACCATTTGACAACGGTGCTGCTGCGCAGCCAGACTAAAAATAAATTTATAAACACTGAGTGAAACCAAACGTCACCTTGAAGTTTACCAACTGTTGGTTTTTAATGTAGTTGACCAACTCATTATTGCAGCATTAACCTCTAAAATGCCGTTATTTTTCCGCTTCCGCGTCCAAAGGCATGCAGATGTAAAAAAGCGATTAAATATCTCTGTTTGCGTTCTGTTGTTTTCGTCACATATGTTCCTCCGGCACTTTTTTTTCGTTAAAACGATGGAACGAAAAAGCATATGCAACATATAAAATTTCCTTCATGTCATCTAGAGATGTCTTATGGTATTCAAGAGGCTAAAATAAGCATTTGATAAACTTCAGTCTGACGTTTTTTTCACGAAGATATTCATATCTGTTTGCAGGTTACAAGGAAAACAATGTTTTAAATATGATATCATCGACGCTTCCAAGCACCAATTCAACAATGATTTTTATCCCTAACTCAACAACAACAGTTTCAAGTACGACAACAACAAGATCAGTTTTTGTTGGAACCACAACAGTGCCCATTAGCTCAAATACAACAATTATTTCTACTATTATCAGCACATCAACAACGATAATGACCTCATTGTCAACAACAACAACATCATTTTCAACATCACAAAGTACGAATATAATGAAAACAACGACGAAAGAAGAAAGTAAGTAGTACATTAGAACTTTGTGCGTGTCTTAGCAATACATAAAGAAAAGAGTTTTTCTATCGCTATATTTTAGTATCACCTCGGCCATTGTTTATTTATGTGACCATTATTTGAAATCTTTTGTGATTAAAAGACTTCCGATACCAATTAATTTTTTTCTGGTGGAAATTGGAAGTCTTTGCCACGAAGCGTGCAGTTAAAATAGGTTTTTCTGTCTAATCGTGGCCATAACAACATAAAAGTTTCCTTATTCCAAAGCTGAGGTTAAGATACTGATAAACGAATAGGTATGCGTTATTTCAAAATTTCTTTACAAGCATATCTGGAGTTAGTTCTATAGTTCAGCACTTTTCTTAGACTAATGCTTAAGTCCAATTTTCGATTCTCGTCTTGTTTTCGACAAAACAATTCAGAAAATTCTTTCGAATTATATAAAGGGATGAACACAACAGAGGATCCGGGTCTTATGTCGCGTCCTAGCACTCATAGATCTTAAGGGGGTCTTCTACAGCGCCCCTAAAAAAAAGTCGATTTTGAGCTGAAATCGCCTGATCGAGAGTTCACACTGTGTACAAAGTTGTTTATTCAGCCGACGTCCACTGTTTATTTTTATTTTTTCACCATTTTAATTCAACCTACAGGTGTGTTTCATATCACGTTTGCAAAAAAAAGCCTTTTACAACATTAGTATGGTGGTGACACAAACAAAAATACATTTTTTTGTTATTTTTGCAAAAGAACTCTTTAGAAGTGAGAGTTGCAATATGTGAGCGTGAGAGAGACAGATCAGAGAAAAATTCTCTTGCTCTATTACATTCGCAGCGCACCGCATTACATCACATATCAACATCGTAGGAACGCACGCACATGCACACTTGGTTTTGTCTAGCAGCTGGGTATTAACTCTAACAGTTGAGCAAAAAGACGAACGTAAAAATTACTGTTTTTTAACCATCATATTTTAGGTAAAAAAACCGAAAAAAGGGGGATCTTCTAACGTGGTTTTTGCGTTATGACTTCAAGAGGGGTCTTGTAACAGAGGAGGTCTTCTATCGTAGGGGGTTCCTCTATTGTGTCCATCCCTTTACATCTACTGTTTATACTGTATTTTGTGGAGAACAGCTCTGGAAAGTATTCTACATCTAGTGCTAAGGTTTTTAGTCATGTAGGATTAACACTGGGTGAAAAATTCATCCAGATTTCTGTTTTTTCAGAAACAGATCTGTCTGCCTACCGATCCGTTGGTATTGGTATTTTTATATTTTGTCTGCTTACACACTGCTGCTTTTAGTACGAACAGACTGTGTATGCCCAACATCAATGTGGAATTCAAGTCCAACAATTGTTGCAGGTGGTAACGGAATTGGACAAAACCAGAATCAACTTAGTACAATGGTTCTAGATATTGATATTGATCAAAATCAGACATTGTATATAGCCGATTCTTGGAATCAGCGAGTACTTAAATGGTCAACAGGCTCTTTGCATGGTGTCTCCCTAAATGTCGGTGTACTAACACCAAAAGCAATATTTTTAACATCCGACAGTTACATGTATGTAGCTAGTTTTAATGAAGTATATAAATGGTCCATTGATACAGCAATGATTACCGAACCGATACGTGTCGTTGTTGATGACGCTAATTATCAGGATTTATTTGTTGATACTTCTGGCTCTGTTTATGTCTCTGACGCGAAAAATCATCGGGTTATACGCTGGGACCGAAACTGGTTTTTGTTTGGACAAGTGGTAGCAGGTGGGAAAAACAAGGGATCGGCGTTGAACCAATTGAACTCTCCAACAGCAATATACGTTGATAGTGGTGCTACTGTTTATATAGCTGATGAGATAAACAATCGAATAGTTAAATGGCAAAACGGTGCGAAAGAAGGTGAGATTGTCCTCGGTGGTACAACAGATTTGAAAGCAAATGAAACTTTACAAAATCCAACAAGCCTGACTATGGATAGATATGGTAACTTGTATGTCGGTGATGCATATCGAATTCAAAAATTTAAACCGAGAGATAAACACGGACAACTGCTTTTTGACGGAAAGAGAGGAAGCAGTCAGATAACTCAATTACTGAGACCACTGGGACTCAGATACGATGCTTACGGTAATCTGTATGTTGCTGATTCAAGAAACGCTCAGATATTGAAATTTTCCTGCATTCAATAGGACATAAAACAACTAAAGACCTCAGTCGAAGCTAAGAATGGTTTGCATCAGTTATTGTATCATGATCGTTACAATAATATGTGTAAATAAATTCTATTTTATCAAGGATTGATTTAAAAAATTAAAATCTTATTTTCAAGAGAAAATATATTATTTTCTGAAAAATCAAACAGTTTAAAAGATTATGTATTCAACTTTTCTTTTGCTGCAGACGAAGTATAGAGACACAGTAATTTTAAAATTAAGAACATGAACATTTGCTTTCGTTCCTTATCGAAATAGGAATATTGATGACTGAATGACGAAAAAATACTTTCCTGAAAATCACATGCAAAAATCCATTTCAGAAATCGTTAAAGACTTTTGGTGCGAAAACTAATAAGAACTCAATACAATTTTTTGAGAACTGTCGCGTATACGGAGAAGCTTTACACAGAGATTGTCAGTCTGGTTTGGTAAACCGCTTATGAGATAACTTCTATAACACATTTTGTTGTATGGTTCTATTCATTATTTTATGTACTTATAATCACTAATTTCTCTCAGGACATCTATTCCTAATGTCAAATTATTTTGTAAATAAAACAAATCGTACTATATGTAATCGATGTCACCGATTCGATGGTGCCAAGTATGAGGCCAAGTTTTTCTAAGAGTCGGTTTTTGGACCTATTTTAAAAACTGTGTATTAGGAAATTTACAAGTTAAAGTTGTTCAAAATATTTCTGAATTAGTCATGTCGTAACCCATACCAAATTACGCATATCACATAACTGTTAAGCTTCAAATATGAGTTTAAAAAGAACTGCGACCTTTTTAGGTTCAGACTTAGAGAGCGTTTCTTTAGATTCCGATGAGTAAAAGGCAGTTTTTTTATCCTTAAAAATTTGTTTTTGTGTGAATCAACAGAAGACGTCAACGATGATCTATCCGCTTATGAAGGTACTTTCCCAGGTACCCACCGCCGTTTTCAATCATATTATGCCTGTCCATAGAGAACATTGTTCAAGAAAAAATCTAAAAGGATTTGTCCTAATATGGCTTCTTTCAAAATGAAATTCTTTTTTCGATGAACTGATAACTATTCACAGAGTTATTAATTAATTAAGTTTAAATTTTAATTAAAATTTAAGGTCCTAGTTCTCATTTTAAAAAACTTGTGGTTCAGTCAAAAATAATCCTAAAAAAGTTATTCATTTATTCCTTGATAGCCAATGGTCTGTTGTTATGGTTTGATGAAAAAAGTTTTTTAAGACAATAATTTATAAATAATCAATGCTCATGAATACTAATTAATGTTACTCTGGTACCTTACACTTTATTTGCAAATTAACAGTTTATTGGTAACGGTAAAGTAATACGTCATTTGAGAGAGATTTCGAAGCGCTACAAATCCCTTTATTTGGCTTTTCAAAATATTATCGATACATCGACTAATTTAGCACATTGGTGTGTACACTTCGAGAACAATCGGTATTCAATTCTCCAAAACGCGCATTAACATCAGCCTGTGCTCAGACTGCCTAATTTCAGTTTACCACTTATTATTGTGACTGATGCTGTTGGTGGTGCAAGATGACGGGGAAGGTGAGAGACCTATAGCATATGAGTCCAAGGTATTGAGTGATGCTGAGACGAGATACCCATTTCATGAACAAGAACTGTATGCCATTATCATTTGTTGAGAATATGGCGATGTTATCTGGAAAGGATGAAGTTCACCCTATTTAGTGACCATAAAGCTTTCGAATATTTGCCCACACAAAAACATCTGTCTCGATGCATGGTCAGGTGGATGCAATACAACGATTCAACTTTAAAATTAAATATAAACCTGATGAAGAGAACGTTATTGGTGATGACATGTCGAGAACAGAACATTCAGAGATGGTCGACGGATCATCTGAATATCTTGACTGGCCTTTGCTTGTACCATATTACTTATCGAATAATTGGGGTCATAAGATCAGAATATATTAAAAAGATCGTGAGAGGGCAGGCACATACATTCTCATTGCTCGGTTATCGAGTAAGAACCCATCATGCAATCAGACAGACACCTTTCTATATGATGCACGATTTTGAACCAAAGATTCCAGAAGATAGATTACGGTCAACATTGAAAGAAAGGGATTAGCTAGACACCGAAGGACGAATTAAACAAATTAAACAAATTAAAAATATGAATAAGAAACGTGAGACTATTCAACAACGATTAGTAGAGAATGCTTATAGAATGAACCACTATTATGATGAAAATTGGAGACGACCGAAAGTGGAGTTGAAAGAGAATAATTGGGTCTTCGTGCATAATGAAAAACGGAAAAAGTTTAGACCACACTGCATTGGCCCCTTTAAAATAAAGAAACTGTCCATCAAAAACGTATCAATTAGAAGATGCTCACGGGGTCGTTAAGTAAGATATAGTTGATACTCAAGAAAGTGTATGGTAATGAAACACTAACAGCCTATCGATACACACGCCGACACCTTTCAAAGCCGTAGGACTATGACTTTCTGTGAGAGGGGGAAAGTGTAAGAGTTCCACTTGCACTGGTATAGTACTTTCTACAAAAGATTTTGATCGTTGTTTCTTGATTTGTCACTTTATAATTAGAACCACCACTCAATCTTTTAAAGAACAGAATCATGACAGGATGTGATAATATGAAGTGACTCCTTTCTTTCAGCTTTCCGGTTATTCGGGCGTCGATACAGAAAGAAAAAGAACGATCCCTTTGGTACTTCCTTTCAATAAACTTGAGCTTATAAAAAATATGCCAAAATACTACCGACAAAGTATATTCGGTGACCATGACAACAGCCCCCCAAATTTCAATAACTGACTCGGCCACGTCTTTCAAAAAGGAAATCAAAAACAAAATTCAATTTTGGTCGATGAATGTTTTAAATGAATATTTCGCTTCCGTATGCACTATGTGCAGTGCAGATCTAAATGATACTCCTAAAACTCTTTGAAAATCAAGAACGATGATGTCTACTTTTCTAATATCCGAGCTTGACGTATTATATCTGTTAGAAAGAATAGATTATAATAAAGCTTCGGCGCCAAGATTATCACCTAGAATATTGAAGGAAGCAACATGTATTGTCTGCAGTATTTTAACCCACATGTTTAATGAATCCCTCAATCAATGCGTATTTCCTTCTACATGGAAAGTAGGCTATATTAATTCTATTTTTAAATCTGGTGACCAAAGTGACCCTAAAAATTATAGACCTATTACACTGTTGCCTGTTTTATCTAAGGTTCTTGAGCGTTTAATTTTTAGAAAAATTGTATGGATATCTTGTAAGGAATAATCTCATTAATAAGAACCAGTCTGGATTTAGACGCCATGATTCATGTGTCAATCAGTTGCTGTCGATTGTACATAATATATATAAAGTATTTGAGGAAAAGCAACATGTTTTCGGTATTTCCTTGACTTTGCCAAGGCTTTTGATACAGTTTGGCATAAGGGTCTACTGTCGAAACTTGAAACCAAAGGAATGCCACCTATCCTTTTTCAACGGTTTGAAAGCTATCTTCTTGATAGGAGAATTATTACAGTTGTAAAATAGTCTCAACATTAGAAATTATCTCTTAGTATATCGAAGTGTGAGGCAAAGCTATTCACATTACAATCTGTTTCTGCTGTTCTACCGCGTTTATACATTGCTAATAATCCGGTCAGACAAACCACTGTTCGTAAACACTTACTATTGTTATTAACTGTAAGGCTAGATTGAACTACGCATATTGATAATATACTACTTAGGATCAATAAACTGATTGAAGTCCAATCAGTGGACTATTAAAATTGCACAGCCGTGTGTTAAATCGACAAGCATTAGATGTAATTAATAAATCCTTTGTTTTACCGTGTTTTTCTTATGGATGTGTTGTTTTCAGTAATACTACTGAATATAATTTACAACGTCTTCAGAGCGTACATTATCGTGCAGCATTAGCTGTTACGGGTGTTATGTGTAGTAGTAGTTCCGAATCTATTCTATCTGATCTTGGCTGGTCTTGTATTCGTGATATGTTTAAGCAACATCGTATAGTTACATATTATACTATAATAGTTCGTCAAAAACTGATTATTTATTTGGTCTAATATCTACTCCTACTCATCCGAACCCAATTATAACCTTCGTGGTCAGTCAGCAACTAGACCGCAACTAAGTATGCCCAAATGTCGTTTGGAGTCCTAGAATCCTTGTTCGAGTCCTTTCATTCTGATATCGCATTCACAGTTGAGTTGAAAGGTTGGAAGCACGCATGCCGCGTGTATTTATGAACAGGCCTTTTTAATTTGCGACGCATTTTGGCGAATGCGTATACACACTAATAGTTCGAACTTCAATATAAATAATTAAGACTGATAATAGCTTAAAACTTTGCAAATAATATTAGGAAAAAAGTATCCTAACGATCCATAATGAAGATACTCGCATTTTAGCACCACCAGAGCTGTCTTTTCTATAGGGTTCTTGCACAAAGTTAGAATAAAAGATTCCCTTTTGTAATTTTTTAGTGCCATTTTGTAAATTTAATTGATTTGAAAGTCACTTTGCACAGAATTCACGCAAATTATTTGCTTTGCCAAGTTTTATTTGAAGAATTGTTGCTATCTTCGTCGCATTCAATAGCAGAAACGTTAAAAAGATGTGATTTAAGAAATTTTACGTTGTATTTTAACCCTCGATCAACATCAACGTTAACACTAAATACAAACATTGAAGCGTTAGCGATTACTATTTGTCATTTAAATAATGCCTATTTCGCTTTTTATATGTTTCCAAAGTTAAAACAGTTATACATTATTTTCACAGATTAGTATAATGGAATAAATCAACAGGATCATTTTGCTCTAGTTACGCCATTTTTCGTTACATCCTTAATCGAATTCAAAATAAAATTTTTGTCAAACAGATTCAATATTTTCAAGCAAATAATTGAATATATAAGTGAATGCAATGCATTAAAGAAA